AACTGTAGCGCTGCCCACTGTACCAGACCCCAGCTTCCCTTTATGTTCTTTCTTCCGGTATTCAATCCCTTTTTCACTGTTTCTCATTTCTACCTGATTCTTAGCTCCTCCTTTACATTTTGAATTAATTAATTGAATTTTAATGTAATTTTTGATACAGGACAGTGATAATGATTTTGTATACCGTTTCCGAATTAATTATCCAAGTTTGCTATTGATGCTTAATTATTCAATCTCAAGTTTGCTATCGATACTTGATGGTTGGTGCATTATGTTCTTCCCGACTACGGAATTGTTTTCGTTCTGTTCAATGTTCTGTTCTGTTTAAATTCAATTCAATGTCAAGTGAAAAAGAGGAGCTAAGAATCAGGTAGAAATGAGAAACAGTGAAAAAGGGATTGAATACCGGAAGAAAGAACATAAAGGGAAGCTGGGGTCTGGTACAATTGAAGTAATTGCAGCGCTGCAGCGCGACAAGTCTGAACGCTGCCTTAGCCACACCGTTCTTCCACCAATGACGCTGGCAGCAACCGCCCGCCCACAGGCATCGTGCCCACTGCCTTTAAAGCATTTATAACCTTCTTCCATTTTTCTCTTTTGTTGAGTCTTTTGACACATTCTCATTGGTATTTCAACCTTACTCCCACGATTTGTATCCAAGAAATGTGCCCCTTGAAACAGAGCTACTACTCAAAAATCAAAATCGTTGTTCGTAAAGGCATCTTCCTGAGATGTTTTCTCGAATATAGTCACCGTCTCGTGCAAAATGCAAGGACGGAAGCTATGAGATGCGAAGTACCGATATACTAGTACTTGAGTTTCTAGGTATCTGTAGCAGTTCAAACGCCAATTTTGGACAAGGCCAATATGAAATAAAATTGAAGGGCGAGAAGAGAAAGTGTTCTCACAGAGTGTGCAGTGTAGGTGTTGAAGTGGCAATATCGAAGACAAGCGTCCGGAAGGCCCCTAGCCTCACAACATGTGCGGAAGATAAAATTTGGGTTCTGAAATAGAGTCGCTCAAAAGGAATCCCACAGCTCTAGGCCTCTTACTGTTTTCTCCTCCTATTTTTTTTTTTTCTTACTGTCAGTTTGTCATTTGTGAAGTTGGTGGCAATGGTGAGCGATTTCGAGTCAAGTGGAGCAGTATGGGCCTCTTCTGCGTTGTCATCTCCAACTATCACTCCATCCTAAACGAATAAACTTCAGTGGAAGAGCCTTCAGAAGAACAACGTACGATTCTTGTCGTCAGTGCAGAGAGCGCCTTTCTTCCTTGTACACCCGTAGGCGCCACATTGATAGCCTTGCTGACAACCGCTTCCACAACTGGCCACCGGTGGTGGGGGTGCTCTTTGACAGCACCCGGAGCCTCCTCCACACTGAAATGTGGAACTAAAAGAGGCTTTACAATTCAGTAACTTTGTAACGAACCGCATTAATATGCTGAGTCAACGAGAGAAGAGCGATAAGACGGACGATCATTGTCGAGTTGTCGAAGGCGATTCAGGTCCATCGGTGAAGTTTTATAGAGCATCAAACGGATCTTCTTGAGGAGCTCGAGGATGGCTAGCCCGAATAGGGAGAGTAATTACCTGGAGAGGCGCTAACTCGCTCTCAACAACTGCCACAACACCCTCTTGACTCGAGTCGCATCCGTAATCGTGACGATATAAATACGGGTCAACAAATCGCCGTCGCATCACGATCATGCTCCTCAAAGCTACCCTGTTCCTCGCTCTGCTTGCTCTGACTACAGCGGTACGTCTTCAGTACTCGACTGAAGTGGATCTGATGATTTTTCACTTATAGTGTCGATCTAATGGAGCCTGTGGTTGCTGTGGATGTCGGGCAAAGGCGAGAGCTCGAGCAGCCAACACGAATCACATAGTAAGTTTTATATCTGGAGTTTTATAACTATCTGGAAGATCTTCGAGTAAGAATCGAAGAAGGGCGCAGTTGGGCGAGGGGAGGGGCACTTTGCACTTTCACTGCTTCACTAGTTCTGGTTTACAAGTCTCACTCTGGTGAAACCTGTGAACTCTTGTGAAGCTGGAGCAAGCTCGTCGAGCCACCATGGTAGAACTCGTCAATTCGAGAAAAGGTTCTCCAGATGGGTCAACACGTCGACGGGAAGCAGCGAAAAAATTCCCCCCCCCCGTCGCCGAACTATCCCTTGGAGAAGCACCAAAATCTAAGAGCTTACAGCACCGGAAAGCCTACGATTTGGGGTTGAGAGCCTTGAGATAATAGTCGCTAACTAGATTTCCTTTGCGTAGGAAGACAATTTCTTGACGGTATAACTTCATTCGCCTCTATTTGGAAGTGGTCGAACTTGTTGACTCTTTGATTAGACAATGGTGCCATATCCATCTACAGGGCCGCGGATGGCCATTAATTATGCGCTTTCCAATTAAATATGCGCTTAAATCTCGAGGATAACGCCCACGAACTCATAACAAATCCCCTCTTGAGATGCGCCGTTACTGAACTCCCATTCAGAATCGTAATGGCTTTAAAATGTGGGTTTACCCATAAAAGGCTTGCGGGAAGCAGCCAGAGTGGATTTCAGCGTTTTTGTCTTTCCATTAAAGTCAGGCAACTCGAGATGGGTCCTGAGAAGCGAGAGGGCTCGGTTGGCCCGGGCGAGGGCTAAAATGGGATTTAACCCTGGACCGCGCACTTGTTAAGCCGCTTTTCACTAATACACTACCTCTTCCCCCATGTAAGCCCTCCGTTCCGGCTGGGTTAACCCGTCACTTGGCCTCTAGGAAAACTCCCGGAGGAGTGAAAGGGCTCACTTGGTCAAGGCTAATTCTGGATCTGACCCTGGTGAAGCATCAAACGTATCTCCTTGAGAGGACCGAGAGTGGCTAGCCCAAACAAGAGTAAATGCCCTGTTCGGGCTAGCCATCCTCATTATTATTTCGTCATTCAGTGGCCGTCAGGAAAACTCTCATAGTAATGAGAGGGCTTGCTTGACCAGGGCTGGTTCGGGAATTGACCTTGGACCGTGCCCCTAATTGGCGGGTACTTATGGCTGCAGCACCTCTGCCCCATGTATACCCTACGTTGCCGCTGAATTACTATCCTTTTACATTTTGAAGCACGCCATACGGTGGCGGTATGGATAACTCGACCCATGGGAGCTCTATTCCGGATCTAATGCTTTCATTCCAGAGCGGTGATAGGGTGGAAGAAGACGATCGCGACGACGGCAACATTTTCGGACTTAAACTCTGGAACCAGACTGACATCAAGCTCAACAGGTCAAATATTGCACGCTACACAGTGAGTCTTTCCTTGATAATTGGGTGGCTTATCTCCTATTCATCAGCACAGGGAGCAACCCTTCAAGTACAACTTTTTTTCAAGAATCCCAACTTCCTGTTCCACAGCTGCTGTGAAGAGCGCCGTCTACCACCAGCATGCGTTCAAAAATGCCACTTCAATACCTATGAAAAAGAAGCGGTAAGTGATTTCTAAAGAAATCAGTTATCTTACTTTGTAGTGAAATGACTTCTTGAACGCCAGTCGCCGTGAATCGCGCTTGCCGATGTAGGGAAAAAGGGTGGTTGATCGGGTAATCTCTCCCTTCTGGGCTTGAGCAATAACTCGACATTTGCTCAGTTTATGACGGGATTTTGGATTCACTTAGCCCATACAGACTCACGACTAGTTTACTGACATGGTGTGGGAGACCCACGTAGCGACTACACGCAGGAACTAGTAAAGTACCTCCTAGTCAGTTGACTCGACATGCAGCAGCAGGTCCACGTCGAAGACAAGTTGTGCACCCACTTTCAAGGGTCCTAGTCTTTGTCAAATGCGAGCTGAATGGGTCCGCAGCTGCCTTAGCGGGCCACTTTCTCCTTCCAAAAGGGTACAGGAACTGAGCTGGTCTTCCCGACTCCACGGCCTGCAAAACGCCTAATCTTGGGTCAAACGCGCTACTTGTCTGCGTAACTTCACTTCTGGTTGTTCTCTACCTCTCACTGCGCGTCCATAGCGGGATTTTTATAATAACGCGAAAGCTGAACAGGATAGCGCAGGCGGAGTTGTGAGACAGCATCCGAGAATCGCTGCCCTCCAGAACCCCTACCATGCACTTCTGAGCGGAGAAAGCGGCACGGTACTGCTGCTATGGACCCATTCGCCTCGCACATGATGGCAGAGACGGTCCTCAGAGGTGCAGCGACAGTTTGTCTTTAGATTAGCTGGGGTCTGATGAGGAGGTTGCC